CCCAAAATGTCTGAATAGCAGGGGAGGAAAGGGACTTGAATGTCTTCATGGTGATTGGCTTAATTGCTTTCCCTCAAAATTCATGTGTTGAAGCTGTAACCCTCAATCTCACTATATTTGGAGATGGGCTTTTGATGAGCTAATTATGGATAAGCGAGGTCAGAAAGGTGGGAACTTTAATCCTTTAGGACTGATGATCTCATAAAAAGTGGAATAAAGGCAACCTCTCCCTGTTCCTCTCCATCTCTCGCTCTCTCCCCCCTCCTCTCTATCCTCTTTCTCTCCCTCTCTCTTTCTCACTTAATCACAGAAGAGGGTCCATGAGAAGAGATAACATGAAGGCAACTGTCTATGAACCAGAAAGAGACCACATCAGAAACCAATCCTGGAGTCTGATGTTGTGGCATGGTGGGTACAGCCACCACCTGAGATTCCTGCATCCCCTATGGGCAGTGGTTCATGTCTCAGCTGCTTCACTGTTAATGGCCTGAGAAAATCAACAGAGTTTGGCGCAAGTGATTGGGCCCTTGCCACCTATGAGGGAGACCCAGATATTGCTTCTGGCCCCTAGCTTCAGCCTGGCCATGCTCTGGCTGTTGTGGATATCTGGGGAGTGAACCAGCAGATGGAAGATCTCTCTTTGTGTCTCTCCCTTTCTTTCTGTAACTGCCTTCAAATAAATAAATAATTCTTAAGAAATAAAAAAGAGAGAAATCAATCCTGACAATACCTTGATCTGGGACTTTCAGGGCAAGAACAATGAGAAAATAAATTCCTGTTGTTTAAGCCACCTGCTTTGCAGTATTTTATCATGACTGCCCAAGATTACTAACACAAGGGTCCATGGACCAGTTCTGGGAATGTAAGTAGCTAGGGAAGTAGTAGAGGGCTGACAGCTCCTTGCTGTCAGGACAGCTTCAGTCAATGATTGACAGCTCCAGCTGAACTGAGGTTTGACAGCTCCAGCCAAACTGAGGTCTGATGGCTCCAGACAAACAGCAGTTGGACAGCTCCTCACTGGCCCATGGGGGTCAGTGATTGACTGCGCCTGGCAACTCATAGCTTGACAGCCAGAATCAACTGGCCACAGGACTACAGCTGCTCTACATGACAGCCTGATCTGACCCACATATCAAGTTCCCATTGGTGCACCATCCCAACTATCTTCCCTTCCTGAGCACAGCTGAAGCCTGCCTTTTCTTTCTTTTTTAAGATTTAATTTATTCACTTGAAAGGTAGAGTTAGAGGAAGAGAGAGAGAGAGAGAGAGAGAGAGAGAGAGAGAGAGATCATCTATTGGTCCAAATGGCTTCACTCCCCAAATGGCTGCAATGGCTGGGACCCTGAATTCCATTCTGGTCTCCATGTGGTCCCCAGACACTTGGGTCATCTGCTGCTTCTCTAAGTGCATTATCAAGGCACTAGATAAGAAGTGTAACAGCTGGGACTCAAACCAGTGCTCTCATAGGATGCTGGCATCTACATTGGTAACGACCTGCTGCACCAAGCCTCCCTTTCTGTGCAGCATGCATGCCCACATCCCATGCACCATCAAGCTCTCTCCATTTTCTGAGTAGTGAAAACTTCACTATGCAGCTCTCTGCTGTGGCCTGGGAAAGCAGTAAAAGATGGCCCAGGTTGTTGGGCCCCTCAACCCTCATGGGAGACCATGAAGAAGCTCCTGGCTCTTGATTGGTCCAGCTCCCGCCATTGCAGCCATTTGGGGAGTCAATCAGCAGATGGAAGATCTCACTCTCTCTCTTTCTCTCTTTCTGTAATTCTGCCTTTCAAATAAATAAGTATTTTTTTAATAAAAAAAAGACAGCTTCAAATTCCACAATTTTACGTACTTGCAACCAGTGTTAGCTAAAGACATTCAACATGGCTGCAGGATGTGCTCCCCTGCCCCCACGACCTAACTTAGGTGATTATAATCAAATTACCAGGAGGGGCATGCCCACTCCCATCATGCACCTGAACTGTAACATTCTCAATGTTTCCTAAAAAGGGCATGGCAATGGGTGGTTCTCAAGCCTCACTCCAAAATTACCCCATTTTGAATATTCAATTGGGTTCCACCCCTGAAATCACCCCCTATGCCTATGGAGGGTATTAAGGAAAGGCCTAACCTTCTTGGCAGGGTTTTTTTTCTTGGTTGGGGGCTTTTCCTTTGTGGAGGGTTTCCTAACTGTTGGGTGTTCTCCTTGGAGAGGAACTTTTTTCTGTGAGGTGTTTTGCATTTTTGACTGTTTATCTATGATTTGGTTCTTGAGCTTGCCCTTTTGTTTTTCTCTAAATAAATCCTAGTCTCCATACATCTTTATGTCTCCACTTCTGAATTCTTTCTCATGTAGAGAGAAGTTGCAATAAGCTTAGTCTGAAGCCCCTGCAGCCCACAACAGACCTGAGTGTTCTTACTGACTGGTAATAGCAATTGCATATGCTAATTTTTCGGGAAAGATGGTAGGATATGGTGGTGTCATGGACAGCAATTTTTTATTTTGAAGACACTGATGGGCAGAGTCCAATACTCACTTTATTTAAATTTTTTTCTCTGTAGGTTTGCTGTCAACAGCAAAAGGGGTATAATTTTTCTTCCAAGAAGGAAAAGGACAAAGGAAAGCACAAGCTAGCAGAGAAGAGAGGAGGGGAGAGAAAAGGGGAGAGGAGGGGAGAGAAGAGTGGAGGGGAGAGAGGAGGAGAGGAGAGAAAAGATAGCAATGCTGGAAAAATGCTTGATTCTATATATAGTGACTAAGGCAGAAGATATAGCACAGTGCTGATAGATGTCTGCTCCATATAGTAGACATGTTACATATTTGTGGAATGACTAGAAACCTAGAATCTTGGTACATAGCCATCCAACTCAAACCACACTTAATATAAAGTATTTATATGTACTGAATCTCAGTTTAATGATGACATTTATTGAGTGTTTACTATATGTTGAAACTTGGGCCAAAGACTACATATTTCTGTTTATTAAATCTTTACATGGAGCTTATATGTGATTCTCTATTAGCTTTGCATTTTGCCTCTGAGATTTGGAGATGTGCAGAATTCAACTAATGTCAAGTACTTAAATTCAGTTCTGGCTGACTCAGTCTGAAGCCTTGCTACTATAGTATACATTCTCCTAGAATCAAAGGCAGAACTGAAGAATTAACTAATAATATAACCTTCTTCCAACAATGTGGCAACAGTTGGTATCATACCCACTTATTCTGTCTTCCATGGCTTAAAATTGAGTATTTTGATAAGTTATTTGCATGTTTGGATATTTGCACGGTTGTGTCCCTTCACACCTCACCCTCTGATTTCAATGAAAAAGAAATGCAGACAACAGGAAAAATAAAATAAGTAAAAACAAGTGACAAAAAAAATCTAATGGCAGTTACCTCTAAATCATTCTCCTTTGTAGGGCCATTTCCATATGAACACTGTTGTCAAGTGTATCATTAAAATGAGTCTTGATTCTTGCTTTTAAATCTCTATTGCCAGGACCTCAGCTCATACCCTACCACTTATTTTTTGCATAGTTTATTAATTAGAATTGCCCCTACATTTGTCACTAGACTACACTTCTGCATTCCCCCATACATCCATTAGCAATTCACAGGAAACAAATCTTTAATTTTTGGTATTTATTTATTTTTATTTTATTTGAAAGAGAGAGAGAGAGATTGATCTTTTATCTGCTGGTTCATTTCCTAAAGGCCTGTAATAGCCAGGGCTGGATGAAGTTAAAGCCAGGAGCCCAGAACCCAATCCAGATCTACATGTTTTGCAGGGTCCTACTTAAGCCATGAGCTGCTGCCTTTGGCTTGAAGCTGGATGGGAGACAGGCATCTCAGGCAACTACTGAATCCCTGTGCTACATCCTGTCCCAGGAAATATTCTTTAAGAACAAACTAGGGGGCCGGTGCTGTGGCTCACTTGGTTAATCCTCTGCCTGCGGCGCCGGCATCCCTATGGGCGCCAGGATCTAGTCCCAGTTGCTCCTCTTCCAGTCCAGCTCTCTGCTGTGGCCCAGGAGGCCAGTGGAGGATGGCCCAAGTGCTTGGGGCCCTGCACCCGCATGCGAGACCTGGAGGAAGCACCTGGCTCCTGGCTTCGGATTGGCGCAGTTCTGGCCATAGCGGCCATTTGGGGGGTGAACCAACGGAAGGAAGACCTTTCTGTCTGTCTCTCTCACTGTCTGACTCTGTCAAATAATAAATATAAAAAAAGAACAAATTGGATCAGGTGACATCCCTGTTATAGCAGCTCACATTGTGACCAATATATAGTTAAAGCAGCCTACCATACAGCTATTTTATGTATCATCAATCAAGAAAAAATGCTATCAATTAAGCTGTGAAGTAATTGTTTCTTATCACTGTTCATACTTATATCTTTATATACTTATATCCTCTGATCTTGATTTTCAGCACGAATACAGGCCGTGAAAGTGGGGAGGCGAGCTCAGGGAGGACAGAAACCTCCCGTGGAGCAGAAGGGCAAAAGCTCGCTTGATCTAGATTTTCAGTATGATTACATACTTATATCCTGTTTATTTATGTATATTTATATATTTCTATAAATTTATACATATTCATATTATATATTCTCCCCTTCTTTCCACAAGAAGGAAAATATAGGCTGAAGGTGTAGCAATGACAATGATGTTACAATTCCTGCTATAGAACTCTATCCATTGAAAGATGCATTGTAATGTCAAAAGTGTCAAAGAGTGAAAAATGTATCTCTTAGAATAAATAAAAGTATGGTGACTGTGTGTTTCTACCCACCTTCTGCACTCTTTGATAGCAGGAATGAGAAAGGGTGAATTCCTCAGCACAGCATTCAGGATTTTGCATAATCTAGCCGCAAACCATTTTTTTTTAATCTAATACCTTTGGACTTACCAGTGTGACTTCACCACTGCACTTTCACATTCATCAGCTTTGATTCCCTGTTCCTTCTCTCCAAAATTATTGCTCTACCTCCTATAGTTAATACCTCTTTCTTCATTTTCTCCATCGTCCTCTCTGTCCTTAGAGGGTCAGTTCCTTGCTATAGACATCTTGTATCAGTCTTCATATTGAGAAGGTAGGTTTTGAGATTTCAAACTCGCTGTGTTGTATTTAGTTGAATATATATAACTATGTCTTTTCACAGCATCTGGAACAAAGGAGATGCTGTACATAATTTGCTGATTAAAATAAAATTGTAGAATACCTGCTTAAAAAAGCTAAACACAATGCAAAATATTGTGCTATCATCCTCATTATTATCACCACCATCGCCCAAAAGCCATTTACTATTTATTTAAAATGATAAAAAATGACCAAAACTTTGTCCTCACACATGCTAAAGTGTTTTTCTTATGTTCAGTTTTTTTCTTTTCCTCTGGAGAAAACTCACTGGGAAACTAGGAATTATGCTCAGATTTCTAGAGAATGAGCTAATGGCAGAGGGTCCTTGAGCTCCCTTCATGTTATTGTGTTTTTGGGGAGATGGCATTTTAGAGTAAGTGAGAAATGAATCTTCCATGTGGCTAAAGCCAACCATATGTGAAAGTTGGAGCAAGGGACAAATGGTCCCTCTAGTCCTCATTCCTCCAAGATTTATTTGCTCTTCAATATTTAGGAGTTGCTATGTAGCTTATTATTAAAGTGCCTATTCCAAAAATTGATTTCTGCAAAATTAATGCTTTTGTTTCATGAAGAATGCTCTTTAATGGACAAAAGCATTTCATACAAGAGTTTGTCCCCTCTCCCCATACATAAAAGGGACTATATATATTTTGTGAGCCTTGCCTTTGTTTTAACCCTTGAAATAACGTGTATGCCCTCTAACATTTAGAAACACATAAGTAATATCACATAATTTCTTACATACAAGTAACATTAAAGTAAAGCTACCATTTAGACTATATAAAACAGTTTTGAGAAGATATGCCTTTTAATGAAGCAAGTTAAAATATACTTATGAATCCAGTCATATTTCATTTTGATTTATACAAAACTATTTGAGGTGTTTCCTGGCAATTTGTGCTCATTTTTTCATTATTTATAATGACAATTATTGTCTTTTTCCAGATACAATTTCATTCCCAGTGGCACTGGAAACATGTTCTGAATAAATCTTGGCAGGAAGAAAGGCATAAATACTTGAATGTTGTTCAGTCAAAACATAGCTGTATGCTTCATTTGGAAACTAGTGCACAAGAACAGCTTCATTCTTTTTCATGCTGCTCCCTTGGTTTTATAGTAGTGATCCTTTACAATAGTGAATCCACTCAAGTTTCAAGACGCAGCTGAAAACTTTCTAGCTCTGGTTAAGAAGACGCAGGAGTATGTTAAGGAAATTTAGTAAGCCAATTATTCTTTCACAGTCATAATACTGACTTTTGACTCACTTGAAAGTCAAGCCTTTTAATTGAATCACATCCATGATTGTATAGGCAAAGCAGAAACATCTTGGGATTGAAAGCTCATGCTATTCTCAATTATTTGGGATTTTTTTCAAAATAACATTTGTTTTTAGTCCATGCATACATATTGAGTCAAAATCTTGATAAGACAGAGAACAAATGTTGGATCCCAGCTATAATTATCTCAAGAGTAATTAGTGACATTGGTGAATTTAGAACTAAAAGGTCAGAAATGACAAGCTCATTTGTCCCATCACACTAAAGTCAGAAAAACCTCTGGAAAATTGTTCTCCCCACAGAATTGTCTATGTGATGTCACCATGTGATGGGATGTTCTTCCATGAAGGGTGGATCTGGGCCAATCTAATTAGCAACAGGTAATAGTCATCACTCTGTTATGGTCCAGGAAAAGACTAAGATTTCTTTAAGAAAATACAATCTTCTTCTTTTTTTAAATTAGTACAAATTTCATAAGTACAACTTTAGAGATATTCTTCCCAACACACCTCCCAGCACCACTCCCACCCTGCCTCCTCCTCGCTTTCCCGTTGCCAGTCCCATTTCTCCGTTAAGATTCATTTTCAATTAACTTTATACCCAGAAGACCAACTCTATACTAAATAAAGAGTTCAACAATTTGCACACATACATACAAAATATAAAAACTGAGAACAAGTTTTACAGTTAATTCTCAGAGTACAACTCATTGAGGACAGAGGTCCTAGGTGGGGAGTAAGTTCACAGTGACTCCTGTTGCTGAGTTAACAACTAACACACTTATGTATGACATCAATGATCACCAGAGCATCTTGACATAAGCTGTCAAGGCTATGGAAGACTTTTGAATCCACAACCTCTGTCAGTGGAAAATACAGTCTTCTAACACTTGTTTGAATAAACAGGTTACTTTTGAAATAAACTTCTTATTTATTTCTCATTTAGTTGGTCTTAGAGTTATTTTCAATTGGTTTGGCCTATCAAGTTAGCTACTTCCCTTCTAGCTTGATAAGTAGTTGCTCAATTTGCTGGATGAATGTAGTTAATTTATCTTAGTAACCTCTCAAGTACCCCACATGGGCTTTTGCATATACATCAATGGTGGTTTGTGAATTAAATGCTGTAGGATTCATTTCCTCTTCCTGCCTTTTATCCGTGTCTCATTTTCCCCTCCTTGTACTTTTTCTCCTATATTTTCATATCTCAACTTTACATATTCATTCCTATTTTTAAGATAATTAGCAATTTTCCTAAAGTCTTATTGCAATTATTCTAGAAATCGGTTTCTTGTGTGATTTTCCCAACTGTTTCACAGAGTCAGTGTATGTCATGTGAAGGAATTTTTAGGAAAATGTCAGTCAGCCCTTACGAACTCAGTCTTTCTTTTACCATTAAGATTTTGATCCAGGAATATTATCAGTGTTATTGATAGAAATCAGTTTTCATGGCCAGCTTTCAATTTGTTCGGATACTTCAAGGTATCAGGTATGTAAACAGTCCTGTTGGCTAGGTCAGCCACATCTCCCTCTATGTATCCATAGGTCCACTGAGGAGAATGTAGAAAATGATGTCCTCTTAGCCAGCAGATCTTTGTGTGAATATTATTCCTCATGACCTACTACTGATCAATAATAAGTTGATTTTCTGGATACATTCGATTTCTTTCCTAGAAAGATTTAAACAGATGGCTTAATGGAAATCTCACAAAGAGGAAGCAGAGATTTACATCTGTAGTACACACTCACGATCAACATTCAAATGAACTCAGTAAACTGTTGTGGGTTGAATGACTTGACCAGGAATTTAAAAGTAAGCTTCCCTAGACAATTTAGAAGTATAAATATTTTAAACTTTGCTCTCAGTAAGTTTTGGTTGCAGAGTTGTTTTCTTTTTGTCTACTATGTTCTTGAAGACTCTTTGATAAATTTCATTTATTCACAGTGCTTTATATTTTATATATTGCATTCCCACTTATTTGCTTGTTTAATCTTCATTGATATGAAATGAGTATAGATGCTGTTCTCACTCAAAGTACACACAGGTATGAAATTTGTGTGTTTTCCCAAAAGCTCCCTAGGAATTTTGACTATTTTTTATTATTGGATCATTAGAATTTGGAGTCACAAGCTATTTTCTCATCTGATTACAATGCTTATTCTCTGGAATAGCCCTTAGGATTACATGAAATAATGTAGATAAATTCCTGGGATGGAGTAACTACCAGTGGAATCAATTTCCTATCAGAATAACTTTGTACCAATCTATCTAGACAATATTTCCCAATTTTTGCACCAACTGTGACACCTATTGAGAGATAATCAATTAATGATGCTATCTGTGGTCTTGGTAAAGATGAAAGCAACTGGTCTGTGCCAAAAGTCAAATCTGGAACTCTGCCAAAAGTCAAATCTGGAACTCTGCCAAAAGTCAAATCTGGAACTCTGATCTCATGAGCTAACAATGAAAAATATGGGTCAATTCTAGAGTTTTTTATTTGGACTCTTGAGGGAAGTCTTACGACCTTTCTGTCTGTCTCATATCTCTGATAAACCAGAAAATGCAGGGACCTACCTGAACATTCACATCTACCTCTGCTCCAGCATAACTGTGCTTCAGTCTACTCATCCAGTACAAACGGAACAACCTTAAGCTATTAAGCAATTTGAACAACTATGGAACACACTAGATTATATTTTGAGAATAAAACTGCTGTTTATAACTGTATTGAAGGAGAAGTTTGATGGGAGAAAGAATTGACACAGATTTCTTGGAAGAAAATTTAATAGAAAAATCCTTGCCTATAATTAACTTATAACGATGAGGAGTTATGGGTGAAGTTTTGTCATTGTAGAAACAACACAGTGGTATTACTCAGCGATGGATTTGTGAGTGATTTTTCATCTTTGTCTCTCTGTATTTTCTTCAATTAAAAAAAAAAAAGATGAGGTGGGGGTAGCTAATCAATCAATCAATCCGTTTGGGAAATAAATGTTGTTTTGTGAATACATTGGAAATAGAATGAGAACACTGTCACTGAATTCCTAAGGCTTGCTTTAAATCACAGGGAGAAGTACTTTTGTCTAAACTGTGTTCTGAGCTTTTTCAGCTCAGAAGTTGGGTTTTCTTTTCCTGAAGCAGCTCTTTCTGCTCGCCCATGGTTCTCATCAGCACATTCTGCAGGGTTTGTATGCAGCTGCCTTTCCCTGTTTTTACTTTTGAATGGGTAGCTTATTTCTTTCCAGCAGTTCTTTTTTTTTTTTTTTTTCTGATTGACCCAAAATGGGTGCAGATGTGGTAAGCATATGCTGAAAGTCGTAGAATATTATTTTCACGCTGAAGAAAGGCCTGACACAAGCAGTTTCAGATTATGTGAATTCTTGATTTCACAGTGGCCTTCCAACACTGGTTTTGTTGCCAGTGATAACAGAAACCAGGGAGAGACCTTGGGAGGTACACCACAGACTAACTTAGCTCCCAACAATTGGCGATTTCATGTATTCCTTGGTGTGTGATCTTGTGAAATGCGGAGATAGAAAATGAAGTTTCACTTTTGCAAAATTGGTAGTAGGAGCTAAATTATAATGTCTGATATTTTTCCTGCATTTTTTAGTACTTGTGCATTTCCATAGAAGCCAACTTCTACTTGTTTACTTACAACAAGATAGTATTTTTTGTGCCAACTTTAAGTTTTGGATTTTCTTTCTGTTCTTTCAAATACTCTTGTTAGCTGCATGTTATATTGAAGTAC